GTGTGTGTGTGTGTGTGTGTGTGTGCGTCTCTCTGTATCTGTGTGTATATGTATTAGTGTGTTGTGTGTGTGAGTCTCTGTGCGTTTGCGTGTGTGTGTCTCCCACTCTCTGTGTGTCCCTGAGTGTGTGTGTCTCTCTGTCTGTCTCTGCGCATGTGCGTGCGTGTGTGTGTGTGTGTGTGTGTGTATGTGTGTGCATCTCTCTGTATCTGTGTGTATATGTATTAGTGTGTTGTGTGTGTGAGTCTCTCTCTGTGCGTTTGTGTGTGTGTGTCTCTCTCTGTTTGTGTATGCATGTGTGTGTGTGTGTGTGCACACCACTATAAACATGCTTATTCATGCTAGCAGTGCTACATTATGCTAGCAACTCATCAAAGTTGTCTTCAGTCATCATGTCTAGTGCTGACACGGGCGACAAACACAGCAGATCTGCTTTCTTCTAACATGATTTAGCAACAACTTAAAATGCCTTAACAGCCATAAAATAAATAACCATGAATAATGATTCTGGTTTATCAGCAGGACGATAAACAATAATGGCGTGAGAAATCAGGGCATAAAGAGCGAGTGTTTCTGAGAACAGAGGTCAGTCTCCTCCCAGCTTACACAAGTGCTGGACCCAGATCAGCTTCCCAGAGTTAAGCTCCATAAAGACCTCGTGAGCGGCTCGAGCATCGAACACACACTGGTACAGCAGTGCATGTGCAGGTCTCAGTGTTCAGAGTGAGTTATGGAGCTGGTGACCCGTGCCGTCGGTTCTGTGGGCTTGACTGTCATCGAGGCGTTACGATCTTTCACTGAGCTCTTTCTCACACAGCCCGTGTGTGCAACGCTCACTCAACTGGCCGACACTGACCTCAGAACACTGGACGGAGGTGAGAGATGGAGAAACATTACTCAAATGCATTTTTTTAACCTATGAAGTACCTGATCATGCCATTCAAATGTTAAATTACATTTATAGTAGCTTTAACAGCTCACACTTAGCTCATGACTTACAAAAGCTTGTTTGGCATGCTGTCCCGGCCGGGAGAGAGACCTGAGCTCAAGTAATTCTCGAGTCCAGGGCTCTCTCCCTTTGCTGGGCGAGGGGAGATTGAGCTGAGGGCGATCTCAAAAGTCCCCTGCAGCTAGGGCCAAGGTGAACTTCCTGAGAGCGAGACGTGTAGTAAAAGAGGCTTAGGTTTAGGTGGTCTGAAATGTAGAGAGTATTTAGGCTTTGAGAGAAAACCGGGGAAACCCGTGTGGACACGAGAAGAACGTGCCAGCTCCACACAGAAACGCCAGATGCTCCAGCAAGGAGCCTTTGGAATTCCTGCTGGGCCACCGAGCCACCTATTCTGGATAAAGGTGGAAGAAGGGGAGGAGGGGGGTTTCTTCAAGACGAAAACCAACAAACCAATGAACGAAAGAATAAAATATTATACGCGTATGTAACGGAGGCCAGCTAGTGTGTGCCGTGCAGATAAACCTCACTCCTCTGACCTCTGAAGGTGCTCTGCTCTAGCTCTAGCCATGGTCTTTAGCCTCTTTGGTAGAGCAACCGACTCCCATGCGGAAGGTCGCCGGTTCGATACTAGCTCAGAGCGGGTTGGGTGGTGTAGGACCGGTGAGGGTTACATTGGTGCCGTGACCCAGATGGGAGTGATGTTAAAGGGGGGTGAGTGTAACGGAGGCCAGCTAGTGTGTGCTGTGCAGGTAAACCTCACTCCTCTGACCTCTGAAGGTGCTCTAGCGACAGACACTAGAGGTCATGGTCTTTAGCCTCCTTGGTAGAGCAACCGACTCCCATGCGGAAGGTTGCCGGTTCGATATCAGCTTGGAGCGGGTTGGGTGGCGTAGGACCGGCAGGGTTACACGTACTATAGTGTGAAACGTTATTCACTGTAAACAGTTTTAAGCATGAATCTCTCTATATTTCCAAAGTACACCATAAGATTATGCTCCATTTTCCATTTCAGGTTTGTATTATTATTTTTTGCATATCTTGTGTAAAACCGAGGCTAATGTTGATTTCAATGGGATTATTTTGTGTAATCTCAGGGATCTGACCGCGCTGTCGTAACTGTCTCATGACCGCTGGTTACAAAACAGCTTGATTTCTCCCTAAAGTCCTGTTGAAACACACTCTCTTGCTTCAGTTTTGTATGTGAGAGATGAAATATGAGTTGTGATGTGTGTGTGCGTGTGTGTGTGTGTGTGTGTGTGTGTGTGTGTGTGTGTGTGTGTGTGTGTCTGCAGATGATCGAGTGTTTAAGGCCAGAGAACTGTGGGAGAGTTCAGGAGCTGTTATTATGGCTGTGAGGAGACCTGGATGATTCATGTGCAGAGAGGTGTATAGTCATGCGCACACACACACACACACACACAATTTGTTTTATGTGAGTTGTGGGGACATTCGAAAGGTTTTCAGTGTTTATATACTGTATAAAGTGTATTTTCTATCGTTGTACACCAACACTATCCCTGAACCCAACCATTACAGAGTACAGTGTGCATTATTACTGAAACAATCTCATTCTGTATTATTTATAAGTGTTTTGAATGGCATTAAATGTTATATTAATATATGTCATTGATAACAATATGTCTGATAAGTCACAAAAACACACACAAACACACACTTTTTGTCACTGTGAATTCATAAATCGGTGTGTTTCTTTGTGTGTGTGTGTGTGTGTGTGTGTGTCAGGAGGTGTCTGATCTCTCCTCTCTGAAGGCTCAGTTGGATGAGTGTGGAGTGTGTCTGTATGCGGTGGTCAAAGAGAACGTCGGCTCAGAGATTCAGCTCTTCAGGCTGTATTTCAGCGGGGAGATTTTCCTGGATCAGCAGGTGAGCGCTGATGATGATCAACACACTGCGAAACAGCACTGATCAACACAGATCCCTCCAGTTCCTCCAGCTCTCTCATGGGTGTGGCTGTGCTGTGTTTAGAGGGGTTTCTTCGGGCCGCTGGAGCGCTGGATGGGGGTCTCTGGGATTCTGCGTGGCGGAGTCTGGATGAACGGATGGAGGGCGTATCAGAGCGGATACTGGGGAAACGTCAAGGGCGAAGGCTTTGTTTTGGGGGCCGTTTATGTCATCGGACCACAACAACAGGTGTGTGAACACAGCACTGACAGATATAATGAAGAACGTAATGTCTGATATACATCATTCATTCATTTCCTTCAGCTTAGTCCCTTTGTTTATCAGGGGTCACCACTGCGGAATGAACCGCCAACTTATCTAGCATATGTTTTACACAGGGCAAGGCAGTGGAGCAGTAGGTAGTGCTGTCGCCTCACAGCAAGAAGGTCGCTGGTTCGAACCTCGGCTCAGTTAGCGTTTCTGTGTGGAGTTTGCATGTTCTCCCTACGTTCGCGTGGGTTTTCTCCGGGTGCTCTGGTTTCCCCCACAGTCCAAAGACATGCGGTACAGGTGAATTGGGTAGGCTAAATTGTCCGTAGTGTATGAATGTGTGTGTGGATGTTTCCCAGAGATGGATTGCGGCTGGAAGGGCATCCGCTGCGTAAAATCTTGCTGGATAAGTTGGCGGTTCATTCCGCCGTGGCGACCCCGGATTAATAAAGGGACTAAGCCGACAATAAAATGAATGAATGAATGTCTTACACAGCGGATGCCTTTCCAGCTGCAACCCAGTACTGGCAAACACCCATACACACTCATTCACACTCATTCACTATTTAGTTCAATCAGTTCCCCGCATGTGTTTGGACAGTGAGGGAAACCTGAGCACCCGGAGGAAACCCACGCCAACACGGGGAGAACATGCAAACTCCACACAGAAATGCCGACTGACCCAGCCAAGACTCGAACCAGCGACCTTCTTGCTGTAAGGCCACAATGCTAACCACTGAGCCACCGTGTCACCCAAGTTTAACATTCTTCAGGAATTAATATTGAGGGTTTGAATTGCACCGCTTGTACTCATTCTAAGGGAAACTGCATCTGTTTTATTGTTTATCAAGTGAGATGAGTACATGTTCACTGTGTGTTTATGCAATAAGGCGTTACTTCACTGGTTACTGGAAAAGAGTAATCTGAATACTAACTCACGTTACTTGTAATGCATTACTAATGCATGAAGCTAAATATGAATTAAAGCACAGTTCCCATCTGTTTATTTTGACAGGGAATCCTCCTGGAGCACAGAGAGATGGAGTTTGGGGATAAAGTCCAGAAGTCTGATGTGCTTCAAGCTGTTGAACAGATCAAAACTCAACAATTATCTCTGAAATTCAAATAGGCTTGAACTCAATAAGCATTCACTTGATCTGTCATGGAGATGCTTAGTTGAATATGAAGCTGGAAGTTGCAGGATATTATTACTATTTGCATATGTTAATGTGTGTGTGTGTGTGTGTGTGTGTGTGTGTGTGTGTGTGTGTGTGTGTGTGTGTGTGTGTGTGTGTGTGTGTGTGTGTGTGTGTGTGTGTGTGTGTGTGTAGTTGATGACAGACCGACTCTAAACTCAGATGAAGGAGTCGTCTTGATGTTTCACGCTCTACATACACACACTGAATAAAACACACACACTGCAGTCTATTAAATGTGTGTCATTATTGCTTTGAATGCATTCTTTTCTGGTGTTCCAGAGATACTAAAAAAGCAAGTGCATAACAAATCAAAGAAATAAATGGAAACTTTTTATAAATTAGTAAATATTTTATGTATGCTAATATATATGCATGTTCAAAAATTATAATTGGAAAATTGATAAGTTAAAATAATTAACAAAAATAATAAAAATTAATATCTTTTATATATAATAATAAAACTATTAGTAAGTTGTTAATGAAAAATGTAAATATTATGCAAGGGTGACTTCAAAAATCTTACTTAAATGGCTGAGAAATACAGTTTTAAATCTTTTAATTCTAATACTTTTCCTTTCTGACTAGTGCAGGAATGCAAAACAATCTGATTTATGATTTTCATCAGTGTTTTATTGTGGGAATTCATAGCCTGAGGTCATTCTGTTCTCTTTCCTGATTGGCTGATGCTCCTTTTATGAATATGGCTCATTTAAATAGTGCCTGATTGTGCAATGTTTTATGAAGTGAGGGAGAAACAGCATCACATATGAGACGCTGAACGCTGCAGTCGACAGTGAGTATTAATATATAATTATTCTTTTATGGATTTATTAGTGCCTGATAGAGTTCTAATAATTATTATTTTTAATTGTTTGCTTTGTATCCTTTTTTTTTTTAGTTTTTAGTCTTGAATGTTAATGTTCATGCACTTGTCCATGCTTAATCAGTTCACATTGTTAAATCATTTGAAAATGCATTACTTTGTGCAGTGAAGGAACCCCACATGAAATAAAATACTATGGTAATTTATAGTTAATATAGTTTTTTTCCAAAACATTCTATAGTTGTATTATAATATTCACAACGTTTTGTTAATGACTGCTCCAGGATCATGTAGTATTAACTACAGTAAACAGATACACTCTAATAACTACTGTAGGATATTGTACTTGGTATTGTGGTATTGTGAGACCCTATACTGTAAGTCATTTTTTTATATTACTATAATTGTTGTGTTACTAACAGATTAATTATTATTTACTATAGTATTTATTATAAATTACTGTAGTATTTTTTCATGTGGAAAATGATAATAGTGAAAATCATAAAAACAATGTGATTGGCTGTGGATGTGCTTTACTGAGGAGTGTGTGTTTGTGTGTGTAGTGTTTCTGCAGGGTCTGGACGAGCTGTATGTGTGTGTGTGGTCTGTGCTGTTGTGTGTTTTTGTGGTTTATGTACTGGTGGCCAACACAGATCTGTTTCTGACCAAACCGGAGCGAACGTCTCTGGATGTACTGGCTGATGCAGACCTCAGACCCACCACTGAAGGTCAAATACACAACACAACACAACACAACACAACACAACACAACACAACACAACGTTCATGATGTCAATGTCAAATAAAGGGAATTTATAACTTCTATAATACACTATACAAACTATTGTGATTTGTAGTAAATACTGCAGTGTTTTTGAATTATATTGTAGTAAAGTACCAGAATTTATCTGTTGTGATTCTACAGTCGCTATGGTAACACAATAACTATGGTAATTGATCTGTTGTGGTGATTCTGCAGTTGCAATGGTAACACAACAACTATATAATTAATCTGTTCTGGTGATTCTACAGTTGCTATAGTAACACAACAACTATAGTATTTGATCTGTTGTGGTGATTCTACAGTTACTATGGTAACACAAAAATCGATCTATTGTGGTGATTCTACAGTTGCTATGGGAACACAACATCTTAAGTTATTGATCTGATGTAGTGATTCTGCAGTTGCTATGGTAACACAACAGCTATAGTAATTGATCTGTTGTGGTGATTTTACAGTTGCTATGGTAACATAATTACTACAGTAATGGATCTGATGTGGTTATTCTAGAGTTGCTATGGCAACACGACAACTATAGTAATTGATCTGTTGTGGTGATTCTACAGTTGCTATGGTAACACAAAAACTACAGTAATTGATCTGTTGTGATTATTCTACGGTTGCTATGGTAACACAACGACTATAGTAATTGATCTGTTGTGGTGATTCTACAGTTGCTATGGTAACACAACAACTATACTAATTGATCTGTTGTGATGATTCTACGGTTCCTATGGTAACACAACAACCACAGTAATTGATCTGTTGTGGTGATTCTACGGTTGCTATGGTAACACAACCATAGTAATTGATCTGATGTGGTGATTCTACGGTTGCTATGGTAACACAACAACCATTGTAATTGATCTGTTGTGATGATTCTATGGTTGCTATGATAACACAAAAACAATAGTAATTGATCTGATGTGGTGATTTCACAGTTGCCATGGTAACACAACAACAACATTTATGTAAACAAATTAGGCAATGCTGTAATTTTCTACATCTATTTGGTATATTATACTACAGTACACTAACATGTACTATAGTAAAAACTAAAGTATGCTACAGTATGTATTACAATAATTAGTAAGTAAATATTTTGAAAGACTTCACATGTATAATACGTAATTAAATTATTGCATGTATGTAGTTTTAATTAAAAAGATAATATTGCACTGCAGTGCTTCACATGATTCTTTGTCAGTTTGTGTAAACAATACTCTCTGTTGTTTTGCATTTGCAAACAGGAAATTAAATATTTCAATATGAATTAATGAACAGATTTTAATTGAATATATTTGATATGCTAGTGTTTGTAATTTATAATGAAATACATTTCGATGCATTTGTGCCCATCTCTGAGTTTGCAGTTGATCATGCTGGTTCACACTAATAGAGAATCACTGACAGTCATTCAGTGTTGCAGCCATTTCCGATATTTATATAATTTATACTGTATTTGTTTATTTGTTGTATGATTATTGAGTAATTTAGATGAATAATATTATGCTGTATTATTCTGTCAAGCATCGAGTGGTTTGGTGATATGGATTAGCTCCACTCACATTTCACGTCAGCTCACCTGCTTGCTTAAGGGACAAAGGTGATGGGTGATGAGCTGGCAGGAGTAGCAGGGAAACCTTGACCGTGTGTGTGTGTGTGTGTGTGTGTGTGTGTGTATGTGTGTTTGTTTTTGTGTGTGTTGTGTTTTCAGAAGATGCAGGGAGTTTTAAAGCAGTCTCTCTGTGGAAGTGAACCGGAGCTGTTATTATGGCTGTCAGACGGCCAGGATGATCTCTGTGCAGAGAGGTGAGTGTGTGTGTGTGTGTGTGTGTGTGTGTGTGTGTGTGTGTGTGTGTGTGTGTGTTTCATATGATCATGTGACTAATCTTTCAGTACTTACAGGAATGTGTGTTTTTGTGTGTGTGTGTGTGTGTGTGTGTGTGTGTGTGTGTGTGTGTGTGTGTGTGTGTGTGTGT